CGGCCTGGCCCTGGTCAGCTCCCCCGCCCCCTGTGAGCAGCCCCAGGAGTGGGCGTCTGCGAAGGAGCTTTCGAAGGAGGGGCGAGCGCGGCATGAAGTGGGAGAGAAGGGAGAGCTGAGGCCAGAGGGCTTTCTCAGGGGAAAGCAGTGGCGGCATGAGCTCTGATGGGCAGGGGGGCCGGGCAGGGGAGTCGGGGGGCAGAGAAACACTGAGGGAGCAGGAGAGGCACAGAGGCTGCATGGCGGGGAGAGGAGGCCTGTGGGACTGGGGATGGTAGAGGGGGATTGTGGGAGCACGAGAGCCAGGGGAGGAGTCGGAGGAGAGGGGGATTGTGGGATTGGGAGAAACAGGAAGGGGTACTGGGGTTAGTAGAGGATTGTGGGAACAGGAGGGACATGAGAGGAGTCGGAGGAGAGGGGGATTGTGGGATTGTGGATGGTAGAGGGGGATTGTGGGATTGTGGATGGTAGAGGGGGATTGTGGGATTGTGGATGGTAGAGGAGGATTGTGGGAGCACGAGAGACGTGGGAGGAGTCAGGAGAGAGGAGGATTGTGGGATGGGAGAAGCACGGAGGGGAAGCTGGGGGAAGCCGTGGAGTGATGGTCTTGGAGGACCACAGGGGGTTGTGGGAGGGATTCTAGGACCCACGGCCCCTCTCGGACTTCTGTCTTACAATTAACGTACCAACAGCTTTCCCTCCGTTCACACGCTTGCACAGCGGTGTCCCCTTTCCTACCCGTCAATGCCCCGCCTCTTGTTTATCATCCTCCTTCCCTGCCAGCCGCACACCCGGGGTCTGTTTTGTGTCCCCAGAGCCACCGTGCCTGGCCCATGATCCCCGAGTATATGTTTACTGACTGAACAGGCGATGGGAACTCCGCATGGTGACTACACAGCTGGACATTGAGAAAATGTCAGCGGCCCAATGGGAGAGAACCTGCCCCCGTAGCCTGATGTTCTCGCCTCCCGTGGGCCCACGGGTCAGGGGTGCCGGCAGACCGCATGCCGGGGCTGTCGAGGCCCAGCTCAGAGGCCCGGGCACAGGCTTGAGATGCAGCTGGGGGTGGGGGTGGGGATGTGTGAGGCTGCAGGTGCCCAGGCCGTGAGTCGGACTCGGCTGGCCATGCCGGGAGCACACCTGGAGCCCTCCGCTCCGCACACCTGCTGGGCGGCTGGGCCAGGCCAGGAGCACCTCTGCTGCCGCCCTCACCTCGATGATGTAATCTCTGCCATCCTTGCTGTGGACGGCCTTGACCGCGCAGATGTCCAGGCCGCCAAACATTTCTGAGCAGCTATCCACCCACAGCCTGTACCTGCAGGGATGGATAGACAGTGAGTCAGTGTGGGGGGCAGAGAGCTGGGAAGGGAAGCAGAGGGAGAGAGATGAAGACAAAGCGATAGAGAGACACATAGAAAAACAGGCAGGCTGCCCTGACCGGTTTGGCTCAGTGGGTAGAGCGTCAGCCTGCGGACTGAAGGGCCCCAGGTTCGATTCCGGTCAAGGGCATGTACCTTGGTTGCGGCCACATCCCCAGTAGGGAGTGTACAGGAGGCAGCTGATCGATGTTTTTCTCTCATCGATGTTTCTAACTCTCTATCCCTCTGCCTTCTTCTCTGTAAAAAATCAATAATATATATATAAAGAAAACCAGGCAGGGAGACAGTGGCACAGGCCCATTCAGAGATGGAGAGATATGGTAAGAAGTAACAGACAGCCTGGCTAGTGTGGTCAGTGGTTGAACGTCGACCTATGACCTATGCACTTGATTCCAGGTCAAGGCACATGCCTGGGTTGCAGTGTGGGTCATGCAGGAGGCAGCCAATCAATGATTCTTTCTCTCTCTCTCTCTCTCTCTCTCTCTCTCTCTCTCTCTCTCTCTCTCTCTTCCTCTCTGAGGTCAATAAAAAGTATATATTAAAAAAAACAGACATATGGCAAGAGAGACAGAAGAGACAGAGACACAGAGAAAGGCAGTGAGAGAGACAGAGTGGTAAAAATAATCTCAAAGGCAGAGAAATAGATGGACAGTGAGAGTGAGAGAGAGAGAGAAAGAGAGCCTGGCAGGCAGGAGAGAGGAATGATGAGGGGGGTGGGGGAAGCAACAATAAGAGTTTGGAGAAATCCCCCCAGTCCCACCTGGAACTTTGCTGGCTCCACAATAATGGAGAGCTTGCCCCGCCCCCACCCAGATCCATTCTGGACACCCCGCCACCCCAGCAGCCCTTTTCCCTTGGGAAAGCTGCTTGGAGGGCTTCAGAAACCCTCCCAGGCCACCCTCCCAGCTCCAGGGACCAGGCTAGACAAGAGCCTGCAGGGGGTCAAAGAGCATATTCTGCCCTGAGCCTGGGGCGGGCATGTGAGGGAGCCCAGCAGGCTGCTCCGGGCCAGGGGCCTGGCCCTCTGGACCCGCTGCTTTTGTTCCCTTTCCAGCCACTTGATGGCTGCGAGGCCAGTTTGCTTTGCAGGGGGAAGAGTTCCTGCTGGACTCTGCCCCTGCAACAAGGGGATGGTTGTATCTGAGACATTTTCCCCGGCTTGCACTTGGCTTCCCCTGTGGTGGCTGGATTTGGGAGTCACAGGGGACTTTGTGTCAATGTTCTTGCTTCTCACCCCACTCTCCAGGGTCACACGGGGCACGCCTACTCTGAGATCTATTTGTGTCTCTGAGCCATAGGCCTGGAATGAGGAGAGATCATGGCTCAAGTGCTCTTAGCACAACTCTCTCATCTTATCTGCTAATGCCCGCTGAGGCCCAGAGAGGGAGAGCGGCATGGCCAGGTCACACAGTAAGATGGTATTAGAGCCCAGATTGGCCAGATCTCCTGGCTCCTAGTTCAATTCTTTCCGTAAACTGTACCATGTGAGATCATAGAAGTAAAAGGAAAGATGAAAACTCATGTCTACTAAGCTCCTACTATGTGCCAGGCATTCTGTGGGGGGTTGACTCCTCATTCTTTCTAACCCCCACAACGACTCTATCAGGAAGGTTTAACCCATTTTACCGATGAGGAGACTGAAGGTCAGAGAGGGTAATAACTATGTGCTGGCTTCCAAACCCAGATCCTGTTTGATTCCACAGGCCACAGAGACACCCTGCCTCTCAGTGAGAACGTTAGGACCTCCTCTCTCTCAGCGTGGGAGACCAGCGATCTGGATGGTTCTTTTTAATTTTATTTATTTCAGAGAGAGGAAGGGAGAAGGAGTTAAAAACATCAATGAGAGAGAATCATCGATCCATTGCCTCCTGCATGCCCCTGACTGGGGATCGAGCCAGTAACCCAGGCATGTGACCTGACCAGGAATTGAACCGTGACCTTCTGGTTCATGGGTTGACGTTCAACCACTGAGCCACACCAGCCAGGTGAATCACCTGAATTCTTGCTGTCAGTTCCCTCTATAATTTTGGGTGAGCCTTTCCCTCTTGCAGCCTCAGCTTCCTGTTGTATTCCTCACCCATCTCCCGCCACGGCTGCGGCTTCCCCCTAAGCACCTTCTTCGTTTCTTACCTCTCTGTCATGGCGACCTGCTCCAGCATGGCAGAGCCTGTGTTGGCCTTCCAGTTGCCAGAGATGGAGGTTCTCCTGTATCAGAACAAATAACGCAGTGAGGGCGTTAGGGACATGTTCCCCTGATCTGCTTTCCGTCTTTGCTTTGGCTGTTGGCTGTCAGGAGGCTCTGATTCAAATATCAGGCTCTCATTATGAGATGTATTCTTAGGGACACATGCTATCTTCAGCTTTATCTTTTATGTGGATTGCCTTATTTCTTGGATCTTTTAAAAAATAATTTTAACTGATTCTTTTTAAGAGAGAGAGAGAGAGAGAACGCGAGAGAGAGACATAGATTTGTTGTTCTACTTATTTGTGCCTTCACTGGTTGATTCTTGTATATGCCCTGATAGGGGATCAAACTCACAACCTTGGCATTTTGGGTATTTCTTGGATCTTAGTATCTTTTCCAAAGCTACCTTTGAAATTTAAAAATTAAATTTAAAAAATGTCTACACAATCTAATGAAATCCCCCAAACTTTGGCCTCTTTTTTTGAGAACTAGGCCAGCATAACCCTTGGGGATTCTGGGATTTTCTCACAGTTCCCAAATGTAGGGAAAACGACCCATGGAGAGGAGTGATCACTTTTCCATCGTGAAGACCAGGAGGGCCTCTGGCCTCATCACCCTCTCAGTTCCCTTGTCTTTTCTGCCCGGCAACAACTGACCTCCCTTTGGGTGCTCCCATGCCCATGGCTCTTTCCTACGTCCAGGCCTCCACACATCTCCTTTCCTTTGCCTGGTCCAGTCTTTGTCTCCATCCTTGCCGCCCTACGTCCTACTTATCCTTCAAATTTCGCCTGAAATGTGACTTCCTGGCAGCCCACCTTCCCCAACAAGAGTAGACCCCCCTGCACTACACCTATACCAGTGTTTAGTAATGCTCTCTCACCTGTAATGACTGCTTTACAGGGGACACATTTGACTCGTCCCCTGATGTCCAGTGGGACCTGGCATGGAGCCGGTGAGGAAGGGACTGTGTGTGCAGAACGCAGACAAACCTTGTCCAATGGCACATGTACACTTGGCAAAGACGGAGTGGCTATAAACAAAGTGGCAGAGGTAAAGCTATTTGTTTTATGGCCAAGGGCAGGCAGGGTGATTGGGGGGGTGGTGGAATTGCTACAAAATATGTCCTAAATAAGAAAATAGTACAGAAGAGACTAGATGGCCGCCAATAGGAGTCATAATGACCAAAGGGCATTGATAAACAGAGACACCGATAAGGTTCACATCAGTTCAGTTTCATTCAGTTCAGCTCAACTGAACTCCATTCAATTTGGCAAAGACTCACTGGGCCATCCTGTATCCTGGGAAGTGGTCTGGGTGTACAGAGGTGACCCCTCCTCAGGCTGCTCACTACCTAGAGGGGGAACTAGTCTAAAACCAGAGGCTAGGCATGGTGGGGCTATCGATCTACACAAGGAGAGACGCGCTCTGGGGAAGCCACGACCAAACCAGAGTCTCTTACTGCGACCGCAGAAGGTAGCCAGTGGGATGTGTCTGGAAGATGAGTAGGGATTGCTATCGTGGGATCTATCCTGGGGTAAGAGGAGGCAGAACTGACTCGGGTCAGACAGATGTGAGTTTGAACTTTGGTCCCTGCATTCTCTAGCTGCATAACTATGGTCAGCATCCCCGCGTCTTTATTATCTCATTGTAAAATGGGAATCATTAAAGTACCATCCTGCCAGGGTATTGTGTGGATTAAAGGAAATCTTCCCCCCAAATCTTTTAGTACAATGGGCGCTACTATGATTTCTCAGTGAGTGGAAACGAGAGAAGAAGGCATTCAAATGCCAGAGGCAGCAGGAACAGAGCCAGACCGCTCTCCTTCCAAGAAGATAATGATGGTGCGAGTTGATATTTAATGAGTGCTTTCTATGTGTGAGACACGGGTCTAAGGGCTTTATAAGCACTGGCTTCTTTCAGCCTCACTGAACCTAACAAGACGGATATTATTTTATCATCATTCCCACTTAGTGGCAGAGCCACCAAACCCTATCTGAGAAATTCCATGCTCTGAACTGCGACTCGCCACGGCAGAGCCCCTGGCAGGCTTGGGGGAAAGAGTCAGTTGGCCCTAAAGTGATCCAGCTACTGGCATGCACGATGGAGCCTAGACTGTGACAAAAGGGTCTGTCTGTCCAGGTTGCAAATGTATGACGCTGACCCCCTCATGGAGGAAGGTGGGGCTGGGGATGGAGGAGCCGACCTAAGTCACCTTGGCAATGAGTGGAGACGGCGAGTCAGTACGAAAGGGACTGTACGAAGCCCTATATCACAATTGGTAACGTGTTTCTTATAGGGCTGTGGGGCACCGGTTCTGCAAAGTGCATGTAGAGTGGGATTTGCACGTAAGGACAGAGATGGCGGATGGTGGGAGCCAGGACTCCCTGCTGGAGTGGGGCGTTTAGATAAGCAATCTGGGAAGGCCAAATGAACCCTGTGGGACTAGATGGAAGCCGGAGGCACCAATGTGAACTCCATTTAGCTTTAGACACAGACGGATAATGTTATAGAAATGATCACCGGTATGCGAGGAATGGGTTAAAGTACACATGTATCTTTCCTAGCTCTGCGGAGAGGCCTGGAAAAATGACACTCCAGTAGCAAAGGCCCGAGAGCAGGGCGGCAGGTGGGCCAGAGAGGAGGCTGAGCAGGCAAGGGCGGAGAGGATGTCCTCCCCTGAGGTCTGCCACGAACCCCCTCCCTGGGATGTGGGCCAGCTCAGGGTCCAGGAAACGCCATAACGAATGACAAATTGGGGCTGTCAGGGAAGAAAGGCTCGGAATAAAGAATGCGGCAGTGAGGTAATCCTCAAGGAGAGGAACTGGGACAAGGTGCAGTCAATGTCAAGTGGAAACTCGAACAGTGAGGAGAGGAGGGAAGTGATACCATGACGGGCGGCGGAAGCCTCAGGAATGCACTGGACTGCGGCACCAGAATGTTCCCTCACTCAGCGGGCGCAGGGAGGAGGGGACATCATCACCCCGAGGGCATCAGAGAGCCGCCACAGGTCTGGCCTGGCTCCTGGGTGCAAGAGCCTGATTGGAGGGACAGGGCCGAGGTGTTCCTTGGGAACAGGCTCCATCTCTTTGGAGGAAATAGGTCAACTGCCTGCACCTTCTCCAGCCTCCCAGGCAACGGCAGAGACTGCACGGCCTGCAAGGCCCACAGTTACCATCCGGGCCTTTGCAGAAAAATGTGCTGACCCTCGGTGCAGGCAATCCAGGTGGTACAAAAGCAGCCCTAGACCATGCATCGATGGGCATGCATGGCTGTGATGGGTAAAACTTTATTTAAAAAAAAATACTTTCACTGATTTCAGAGAGGAAGGGAGAGGGAGAGAGAGAAACATCAATGATGAGAGAGAATCATAGATCGGCTGCCTCCTGCATGCCCCACACTGGGGATCGAGCCTGCAACCCCGGCATGTGCCCTGACCGGGAAACAAACCGTGACCTGCTGGTTCATAGGTCAACACTCAACCACTGAGCCATGCTGGCCGGGCATGATGGGTAAAAGTTTATTTACAGAAACAAGTGGCACCTGGATTTGGCCTGTGCTCTGTCATCTGCTGACCCTGACCTAGAGCACAAACTGCACCGCGCAGAAGCACACAGAGACTTCCAGCTGCCCTCGCCGGCCCCTGCAGCCCTCCGCATGGCGCCGTTCACACAGCCAGGGCTCCGTAAGGCTTGGCACTCGGGCACCGGGTGGCTCTCTAGGGTCTTATCATTTCAGGTGGAACCAACAACAACATTCCAAAGTGAGAGACAGAGAGCCTCGAGCAGAAGAGATGCTCTGAAGATGGGCCCTCCCACCTCACGGAGAACTCCCTCCCACTCCTCCTGTAACCACGGCCCAGTGAGTCACCCTCTGCCGGAGCCTCCCCTGGCGGAATGTGCTGGATTTCCTGTCGCTTGCTCCCTCCTTTTCCCTATTTCACTGGGGGATGCCCCTGCGCCTGTTGCATGCCGTCTTGGTGGACTCTCCATGCTGCTTTTCTGACTTTCTCTGACCACAAGCCTGTGGCCGAAGTTGGACCAATCAGCGCTGTTTCCGTGGAACCACAATCTCGACTGAAGTCCTGAGGTGATTAGGGGACATTCGCTTCCCAGTCGGGGTGCCATGAAGATTGTCTATTGTTTCTGGCTACCCAGATCCCTGGGCTGCCCTGGACCCTCATATTTCTGAAACTGATAACTGAGTGATTTTGTTTGTTAATTTGTCTGTTTTAAGTTTCTGAACATCCATGTTTTTCTAATAAATCCCCTTTAAAAAGCTCCATCAAATTAGTCAAGTGTGGTTTCTGTTGCTTGCAGCCAGAGAACCCTGACATGGTCTCCTAACTGGTCTTAGTGGTTCCAGGGAATCCCCTTTGCAGCCCGAGGGCCCAGAGCCACCTTTTATTAATTCAGGTCCGACCATGCCACGTCTCTGATTGGCAGAGAACAGAGGAAAATCCACAACCTCAGCGAGGCGAGGCGTTCGAGGCCCTGCTTGATCTGTCCTCAAGTTTCTCTCCGTCTCATCTCCTATGACACGCAACCTGAATGTACCTGAAGTTCCCCAAACATGCCCGTGTCTTCCTTCCTCTGGGGGGACAGCCCTCGTTTGGGCAGATAGACTTCCACCCTGGGATAAGCTGGGGTGGACGTTAGCCCTCAGCTTACAGACCAGAGAAGGTCATAAAGGAGGTGGAAAGGGGAAAAGTGATGTGCAGATGGGGCCTCCTCCTGGGGCGGGGGAGACAGGGCTGGACATGCATCTCTAATCTCCGTCCCCCACCACTCTCTTCTCCCCCTCCTCCCAGATCCCCCTTCCCCTTTCCCCCCAGGGACTCACATGTAAGCCTTGTAGTTGGATCCGATTTTCTGGATGCGAATGTCGTACTTGGAGTCGATGAAGGCCTCGGTGGTGGCGTAGGTTCTGGCCATCGCCACCATGCTGGTGATGTCCTGGTAGTCATGCTGGTTTTCCACTTTGATCTGTGTGGGAGGGCGAGAAGGTGAGTGCCCGCCACCTGCGTTCATGAGCACCTACCCTACCCGATGCCAGGACCAGTGCTGCATACAGAGTGACCTTGAGGAGGTCACCTGCCTGGCAGGGGATACAGACATGGGAACCAGTCATCCTACTGCGCCTGCACAAGAGGGAGGGAACTCCTTCGGGAGTCAAGGGAATCTTCACAGAAGAGGTGAGCTGGGCAAGGCTGGGAAGGATGAATGTGACTTCAGATGGACTACCCAGCGGGGATGCTCTGAGAGGCCTGAGGAAGGGCAAAGTGGAGGCAGAAAGAGCGGCATGGGGAGGGGGGAGGGGTGGGCAATGGGATCAGACTGGACGATGGGGCAGGAAGGTGGGGGACAGCTGAAGGGGGTCCTCAGAGAACAGACTATAGATGGCCTGAACAGCTTAGTAAGGGGCTAGAATTTTCAGCCCGAAGGCTCTGGAAAGGCCCTGGGAGGAGTTTAAGCTAAAAAGTAGCCTAATTTGTGTTTTAGAAAAATCATCAAGCAGTTGTATAGAGGGTTGAATGGAGGGGTGTGATAGGGGATAGAGAGAGACCAGTTAGAAAGAAGGGAGTGTGTATGTGTGTGCGGAGGGTGTGCACATGTGGATTCTGTGTGTGAGGACCTGTGTGTGTAGTTTGTGGTGTGTATATGCGATGTGTGTTATGTATTATATGTGTGGTGTGTCGTATGTGATGCGTATGCAGGCAGTGTGTGTGTGTGTGTGTGTGTGTGAGTGAGCACCCACGCACTGGACAAGGCCAGCTCTGCTAAGGCCAAAGGCCTGATGGAGAAACTCACACTGTGCCCTGAGGCCAGGAACACAGCGTGGTGCCCTGGAGCCGAACCCCTCTCAGGCCACGGGCAGCCAAGCATCTCAGCCTTCGGGATCTCCAGGCCAAGGATGTGAGTGCTTCCTGTGGACCACGGGTGGGCTGTGAGGGAGAGGGGCCAGCCCGGAGCCATTTATAATCCTGTGCGGAGGGAGCAGGGGCTGAAAGAGAGATGCTGCCACCTCCACGGGTCCACGCCACCCACATCCCTCATTGGACCACGGCAACCCTCTCCTTTTAAAGTCCACCTCGCCCCAGCCAAAAGCCGCAGGCTGATTTTCCCAGAGTCCCTGGGTGTGGACCAAGGCGTCAGCGTTTTTGGAAGCCCCCCAGGCAGCTGTGTGCAGCCCAGGTTGAAAAGCACGGGCTGGATCCCGTGGTTCCTGGTCATCTTTTACACTCAGCCAACTTGGCCCTGCCTCCGTGCCTTTGTACCTGCGATTCCTTCCGCTTGGAACCGTTTTCCCGAATGCCTCCCCACGGCCGCTCTTCTCAGGTCTCTACCCAGATGATCCCTTAGTGGAGGCTTTTCCAACTACTGATGTGAAGTAGCTACTCTCCCCTGCCCACTCCGGGAAGGCTCTTCTGAATGACCCTGATTCATTATTATGATTACTCTTTTTCTTATAGTCTTTGACTATCTGAAATTGCTGTTCATGTGTATATTCCTTCTCTCCTCCACTGAAATGTAAGCCAATAGGATCAGGGACCTCCTGTGTCTTGCTAGAAAAACACTATCACAGAGTGTTTATTTATTTATTTTTTGAAATACATTTTTATTGATTTCAGGGAGGAAGGGAGAGGGAGAGAGAGATGGAAACATCAAATGATGAGAGAGAATCATTGACTGGCTGCCTCCTGCATGCCCCCTACTGGGGATCGAGCCTGCAACCCAGGCACGTGCCCTTGACCGGAATCGAACCTGGGACCTTTCAGTCCACAGGCTGACGCTCTAGACACCGAGCCAAACCAGCTAGGGCACACAGAGTGTTTAATAATGCAAACTCAAATCCCAGCTCCCTCACGTACTGGCTGTGTGACCTTGGGGAAGTTACTTAGCCTCTCTGTGTCTCACTTTCCTTTTTTTTTTTTTTTTATATATTTTTATTGATTTCGGAGAGGAAAAGAGAGAGAAACATCAATGATGAGAGAGAATCATTGATTGGCTGCCTCCTGCACACCCCACACGGGGGATTGAGTCCTCAACCCAGGCAGGCATGTGCCCTGACCAGGAATCGAACTGTGACCTCCTGGTTCATAGGTCGACGCTCAACCACTGAATCATGCTGGCTGGGCTTCTCACTTTCCTTATCAGCAAAATGTGGATAACTTGTTGATGCAAAGTAGCTACTCCATATCAAATGTGGATAACTTGCTGGGTTAGTGTTGAACATTGGATTGCTGTTGAGCAATAAATGAGATAATACATATAAGTGGTTTATCAGAACACTTGGCTCATCACAAGCACTTGATAAATGATAACTATTATTAATTGTTACCATTCCCTCTCATAACCTGAACACCCAGCATAGTGCTTGGCACATCGTAGGTACTCAATAAATATTTGCTGAAAGAATGACTACAGGGCCAGTCATGGTAATAGCTGAGTGAAGAGAGTCTAGGCCAGCGGTTCTCAACCTGTGGGTCGCGACCCCTTTGGGGGTCGAACGACCCTTTCACAGGGGTCGCCTAAGACCATCGGAAAACACATATATAATTACATATTGTTTTTGTGATTAATCACTATGCTTTAATTATGTTCAACTTGTAACAATGAAAATACATCCTGCATGTCAGATATTTACATTACGATTCATAACAGTAGCAAAATTACAGTTATGCAGTAGCAACGAAAATAATTTTATGGTTGGGGGTCACCACAACATGAGGAACTGTATTAAAGGGTCGCGGCATGAGGAAGGTTGAGAACCACTGGTCTAGGCAGAGGGAAAGGAGGGGCCATGGCCCTGGGGGTGATGCTGCCTGTTGAAAAGAGACTCCCAAATGCTAACAGAAAACGGAGCCTTAACACCGTATGGAAGCTAAAGGCTAGTGGGGATTCATGCTTTTCCATCCAATCTCCCCTCAGATGGGAACACAGGAAATGGGGCCAAGATCCTTCCCAGGTAACGGTTTGAAATTAATCTCAACACAGAAACACATGAGCCACGGAGTGGAGTCCACGGCCCTATCTTAATAGCCTGGAAAACATTCCGGGCAAGTGTGGCCAGCATCCCCCCCACCGTCGGGATCCGTCTCCGGCAGGTTCCCCCAGAAGGCCAAGTTCGGAGCGTGCTCCTTCCCAGCGGGACGGCCCAGACAAAGTTGTTTTTCCCCCTCAAAGATAAGTGCATGAGGCAATTTACTGAACCAGGTTATTTACGAATAAGCTAATAGCTGGGTGGCTATGGACCAACAATAATAACCATAGCTTAGAACACTTGCTCTGTGGTCTCTCTTTCTGGCAAGAACGAGCCGGCAGGGCCAGCGGGACACTCAGGCCACTCCTAGTTGGAGATGATAAAGCCGTGACCTTGGCACACACATGGATGCTTGTTTTTTTGTTTTTATCACAGGAAGATGTGCATCCAGCGCATTCCGAAGTGGTATCTGTTCATGAAAACCTGGTTAGATGGGGCGGAGAGGGACACACTACGTATGTTCTATCCCTGTAGCTGCTCACCAGCCTTGCAGCTCCCAGACTCTCGGGCTGTTTAGTTCAGAATCAATTCCCGAGCTCAGCATTGAGAGCTGAGAAGAGCTGGGCCTGTGTGGCTCAGTGGTTGAGTGTCGGCCTATGAACCAGGAGGTCACGGTTCGATTCCCAGTCAGGGCACATGCCCGGGTTTGCAGGCGTGATCCCCAGTGTGGGATATGCAGGAGGCAGCTGATCTCTCTCATCATTGATGTTTCTATCTCTCTCCCTTCCTCTCTGAAATCAAATATATATATGAAGTAAATGGAAGTTGCTTATAACCTAATAATGTAGAAGTTCCCAGACTTTCTGGGTTCACAGTTCCCATCTCAAGAATTATCTCATGGCATTCCTAGGCCAAGAGAAATACCAAGCACTTCCATCTACTAAGTAGTTAGAGCTAAATTGCTGGATAAATATTTATTTCAGGACAACTTGGTAATTATTTAAAAAAATACACATAATGTTTTTATTTCATTTTAAATACCGAGAATTACTTACTAATGGAATGTGTGTGCTTGGTGAGCACTGCACAAGTTCTCAAACCACAGACTCAGCCGGACCCCATCACCCGCATTTCCTAGTGCCCGCTGATTGGCACATGGTTCTTGCTTTTCTGCACAGCCAGCACCCAAATCCCAGCTTTGCCAAGATGCAGCGCCATTGAAAGGAGCATGTTGTGATTCAAGGCTGACACGGGGAGCTACCTCGGCCAGTGATCTGCATGTCTCACAGGTGTCGAGAGCTGCTTTTTCTCTTGAAAATTTACAATATACTGAGGTGCAGGGTTTGGGAACTAGGGACCTAATGTTATGACTCCCAACACCCTCCCCTAGCTGTTAAGAACAGGAGTCTCTGGGCAGTATCCCTGGGAGAAAAAGCCTACCTGGTTCTCATGGCAACCATGGGTCTGAGAACCCCCCGGGGGCAGCGTATCCAATAAACCCGTCTATAGGTGCAACCAGCCCAAACTTAAGGAAAATTTGATTTCACTCATATGTGGAATGTAATGAACAAACTGAAATACCAAGCAAAACAGTCAGACTCCTAGATAGAGAGCAGGCAGACAGCTCTAGAGGTGTTAGGGTGTGTGTGTATGTGTGGAGGGATTGAGCAAAAAAGAAAAAAAAGAGAGAACTCATGGACATGGAGGGGGTAGAGGAGGGTGAATGCAGAAGGAAAGGACATAGAGGGGATAAACGGTGATGGAAAAATCTATATATATAAAAGCCCAGTGCCTGGACCGGCGGAATGACCAGAGCAACTGGTGGCTATGACACGCACTGCAGCAGCCAACCATCCTGATCTGGCCCCCAATCGGCCCCCAACACCCCGATTGGGGGCAGGGCCGGCTGGCCAACTGCCCACAGCCCTTCCCCCTGACCAGCCTCACCCCTGATCGGCCCCCAACACCCTAATTGGGGCGGGGCCAGCCGGCCAATTGCCAG